GGGGGGGGGGGGATGGTTCTCCTGGAGTCCTGGAATTTGACTCATGCATAATATCGGCAAAAAGCAGTTAATTTCAATTCACATTTAAAAAGTTTTACATAGAGCCCATAGAAAGCAAAATACTATACCTACATTATAAAATTGGTAAATTGGTAGTTCTGTATTTAAAAGTGTTCAAGTTTCATCTATTTTTTACAAGTTTGTACAAAACGCTTAAAAAACAATTATCGTGTTGTCATGACTAACATGACGTGACAACGCGAGCCTGCGTTCAGTGTTGGAACAATGTTTGGAAAATATAGGCGTTGCATACAAGTATTACTAGTTTACTAGGTAAAGGATGGCATGCATCATGCGCGTTAGTTTTTCAGGGAATGAACGACACGTCCCACGTTATAACATCTCATGCATGCAAATCTCGCGTTTACGTTCCGCACGTATAAGCAATCGTATGTAAATCACCAACACACGGCCACGGCAGTAAGTGCTCTCAAATTCCGACTCAATTTCACTACCAAACCTTTCCCAAGTTAATAATTTAATGGATGAAATAAAATGTAAAGACGGGAATGTTTTTCTACCGAAGAAAAGCAAACTACAATTAATAAAACTGTTTGTATGCAACACTATAAAGCTGCACGGGATGTTACCTGCTGACAGCATTTTCTCTAACACAACATTTTAATCACTATATAGGTATTGGGAGCATACCAAACTCAGTTCTGTCATGTTTACATCAACACAAAGACCTTGGTATTCACACAGAGATGTTCAGCGATGGCGTCGTTGATCTCGTCCAACGAGGATGCATTACTAATGCAAAAAAGAACATTCGACCTGGAAAAATAGTTTCTTCCTTCGCTATGGGATCTCGACATTTGTTTAAGTTCATAGATAATAATCCCTCAGTAGGTGAGTTTTTATCGTTGATTTTAGCATTATAGATCTTAGTAATATTACTAAATCCGGGGATGCTTCTTTTCGCTTGAAAAAACGGGCCATGTTTACGGTTCAAAATATTCAGGAATGCGACTACCGTGTATCCCAGATTAAACGGCGCCCTCAAATAAACGCCGCGCTTGAGTAAACGCCGCAGATACAAACAAAACTATTATTAAACTCCGCCCTTTTACCATTATTTTTTATTTACGTTGAGTTCAAAGGTTTTTCATGTATATTATGAAGTAGTATAGTACATGCATGTTTCTCATGCAATTTGGTAAAACAGATACTCTTGAGTTTTTCAAAGACGAGGTTCTTCGAACACCTGCACTGGAGCACGAGAACGAACAGATATGCTGGTATGCAAATGTGTTTTGGGCAAAAGCTGAAATCTGATTGGACTGCATAATTAATCACCTACGCACCGGACGACAGTAAAGACGAGAGCGAACGAATATGTAATTAAATAAACAAGAGTTAATTTGCATGATCATGAGTCATGACATTTTTTACAAATTGAAAAGCCTAAAGGAAATCAAAATATAAAGTTAAGACGAACAATATACATGCAGTTAGAATGCTGTTTTTAGGGTTTTGTAATTCAAATGAGTATAATTATATACACTTTAAGTCCTGACCAGGAGGCAGGAACGACTGCGAAAAATGCAGCACAAGGTCCTCTGGTAGGAAATTACTAGGAATTGAACCTACGGCCCTGCGATTTCGGTGCGGCGCTCTAACCAACTGAGCTACAAAGGCCGGCTGTTGAGCTGTAACCGTAAGTCCATGTATATATATAGGTGATCGGGTGTGCGGGTTGTGATAAGGTAGACTTCTTGTCTGAAGAGATAATGATGGTTTCTTGCACTTCACTTGTTGCAAGATCAAGTGGCTAAACTGAATGACCAAAGCATTTCTGCATGCACGATACAAGGCCATTCTGTGCTACACTATACTATAATGATGGCAGCGATATCAAATTACCATTGGATCGACTTGAGAACCCAACGTACAGTATAAGCTGTTCTATATGCACTCAGAAATGTGTGTCTATGACAAGAAAACACAAGCTTTTTTCACTGTATACTCAAAACCTCTGATTCTCTGAATATAACGGCGATAATATCGCTCACCTCATTCCAAATATAAGCTCCCGAAGATAACCCAATATAGTCCCCTGAATATACAAGCTCAGTGTAGCCTCCTTACCTTTATAAAGCATTCTTCAACGTTGATGACAGTCTTTTTAATATAGCAGAGAACGATATTTAAAACATTGCTTCACAGCCTTTATAGCTAGCTATGTTAATCAAAGCGTGTTATTAATACATGTTTATGTTCCTGTTTATGACTGACTTGTTTAGTACTGACACAAAAGATCGTCCATGTATAAGACCCCCGTACATGAGCCCCCCCCCCCCTGTATATATAAGCCCTCAAAAATCACTTACAAAAGAATATAAGCCAAGGGCTTATAGTCAAAGGTTTACAGTATTATATTCACATATTTTAACAATATTATAACCACATTATTTTAATTTATATTATATATACATGGAGCACATATAAAGTCTTTAAATAACAGTACATTGTGTTTGTAATTATAATTACTTGTGTCGAAAGTAAGAAATGAAGTGAACAAGGCCATATATATTTGTCGAAAGTTTGTTGCAGTGCCCGTGGGTATCTCCCATTTGCTTTTCATGCTTCGCACTGTGTGTCTTTGAACATTTAATCAGCAACTAATTATAGGCAAGGATATATTTACTAGCTTATTACTCCATATTACCAGGTACATAACATGCAATATGTACATCAACCTTGTAATCCCTGCTTTAACCCCTGCAGTTGCCTCCTCTCCTGCAGCATGTTTGGGAAGGGAGAGGAAGGAATGGAGGTACTCTAATTTCTATATTTTTTTTGGATACAAAAATAAAAAATAAATAAGCCCCCCCCCCCCCCCCC